ACACACACACACACACACACACACACACACACACACACACACACACACTTCTTCAGATCCCACGGCTATCAAATCTTTCTTGATTCCATCTTGAGAAGTGAAATAAATAGAAATACATGCAGGATTAACTTGGGTTACTTTTAGAAGTAAGTTCATTTCCATCTCACACAGATACGAATCAAAAATATTACATCTTCCTTTCTTTTCTTCTTCATTCACCACTAAAGCTAACACACACTCCTAAGAAAGGGGAGTAATAAGGAAGGGCAGGAATTTCGGACATATTAGGAATATTGATTAATTCTATTCCTTTTGGTAAAACAATTCCCTGACTGAACAGAGCACTGGTGGGGGGGAGGTAGCAGGATATGCATATTTTTCAAGCTAAGCCCTTTCAAGGACAGATCCCAAGGTGAGCAGTACTAGGGGTTTCTCGGCAACCTGAAAGGATTTATGAATGATTGTGAAAGATTTGCCCCTCCTCCAGCTGCACTTAGGGGCTGCTCTAAAACGGTAAAGCCCAGCCTGGGAAATTCATGTCACATCCTGTACCCCTGGGTAAGAAGTGGTGAAATACACACACAGACACACATACCCCAGAGGGTGAGAAGGGGTGAAATAAACGCACACGCACACACTCACGCTCACACCTCACCCTACCCCACCAAAAGCCCTGCGGGGAAGCTCTCAGGCAAGCAGGCTCTGGCTCGGGAAGGCGCAGTCAGCATCCCTGTCTCCCAGCCCAAGTGAGAGGCTCGCCTCCACCTCGGAGCTAGAGCTCCCGGGTCTTTAACGTTCTAGGCTTTTCCTTACAAAAGTAGAAAGGTCCAAGCTGGCCTTACCTCTGGGGCTGCTTTCCTGTAAGTACGGCGGGGCTGTGGGGGTGACATTTCCCGAATGGGATGCTGACAGCAGAGGCGAGCGCTCGTCCACCCCATCAGCAGCCATGACTGCTGCAGCAGCCGCGGGGCCGGGGCGGGGGGGAGGCTGAGCCGGGGCTTGCGGCTCCCGCGGAGGTGGAGGCTAGCGCTGTTCCGCCGCTGCTGCCGCCTCCGGGAGGACCCGGGATGTGTCACAAGGCCGGAGGCTGGGGGAGGGGAGGGTGCGGGATCGGCAGGCGGGGGAAGGGCGGCGCGCTGGGAAGCCTAGAGTCTGGGGGAGGGGAGGGGAGAGAGAAAGCAGAAGCCCGGGAGAGGGGAGGCTGGGAGAAGGCGAGGAGGAGGAGCCGGGGAACACAGTAGGGCTGCTCGGGAAAGGCGGGGAACGGAAGGTGCGGAGTAACCGAAAGGGGGGCGGAGGAGGCGAGAGGAAGGGATTGCGACTCTCCCTGTCTTTGTACTTTACATTTCCTTAACTAAGGAGAAAAGGGGGAAGAACGGTAAAGAGCAACCTGAAAGGGGGTAAGAGAAAAGGCCTGTGACTTGATTACAGAAGAACTACAGCAAACACAGATCTCAAGTTTAGCTCCTGGAGGGGGGAGGAGGAGGGATTCTGTGCTGTCCAACTTTGCAGCAATTATCGAAGAAAGCTGATTCCCAGGGTTAGCAATTCCTTCTTGGGGGCTGCTTCTTTTGTTAGAAAATCACTTCTCAACATCTGTTGTCTGAGAGGAAATACATTTCTGCAAGAGCGGTGCCATTCCTTGCTTGTCCTTGTTTTTTAGTAGGTGTTTGGCATTCTAGTAACAGTACCTTATTGAAACGATGCAGAGTTTGTTGGCTTTTACAAGGTTAATTTGACAAAATTTTAGTTTTGTTTTGGACTGTATTGTCCCTGACACCTTATACAAAAATGAAGTTTATGAATGATGTAAGTCAATTTAAAAAAATATTTTCTTGAGCTACTGTTTTAAAATAATATTTCGCATGTAAAAGAGAGTAAAAAACGAGCTAGTTACCGGCATGTTTTCATGTTTATGTTTTTCTTTTCTTGTTTTGGTGGTTTGCTAAAACGGTTTAGAAATCGAAGTTTTGAATATGCCTGACAAAAAAGGCAATAGGAAAACAGTGAAGGTCTCAAAAGATAATTCTTCTTCAATGATTTTTGAGTCATTCAACAAACATGTATGGTGTGCTTACTGGGTATACAAAGATGAATCAGTAGAGCAATGGTCTTGATCCTCCAGATGTCTGTGTGGTAGCACACTCAAAAGCAAACAAGAAATGAGGCTGGTAGTCCCAACTGTAGATTTTAAAGGGTCATGAGGAAAGCTGACTTTAGACATTTAAAACTACTTCTCATATTACATTAAGAAGGGTCTTCATTTTGCTTTCTGAAGATACTCTTTCTTCCAAAAAAAAAAAAAAACCATTTAGGCATCAGCTGGAAATCCTAAGGGAAAATCAAAGAATAATGTTTTCTATTATGCAGCATCTTTTATGGGTCAGTAGTATCAAGACCCAACACCATATAAGGATCCCCATATGATATAATCCAAGGGCATTTATAGATCTCCAGAAACCTGAAAAGTGAGGGGTCAAGATATAGCACTCCCTGCAAAAAATGAACAATTTACAAGATGAATAGCAGGTTTTTTGGTTTTGTTTTGTTTTTGTTTTTTACATTTGCAGCCTGGAAGCTATTGAGTTAAAGAAACTTGAGAAGAATCAGCAAAATCCTATGACTGTGGTGTCCTGTTCTGTCACCTATCACACTATTTTAACAGTACATTTACATTTCCATTATCCACCTACCCTTTATTCCCAACTGACTTTGTGAGTCAGAAACTGTAACTAACTCATTCACTATTGTGTCTCCAGTATCTAATGCAATGCCTGGCTCATTAAGAAGGATTGGATAAATATTTGCCAAATAAATAAGCAAAGGACTGTATGAGGAAATCCTACACAGTACCAGAATCTTATTAAAGCAAATCGTTAGCAGGAAAAGCGTTGAGCATATCTTGATTTTTTTTTTATGAAGATGACAGTTTTGCCATCTGACCAGTGTTTTTATTGTTCCATTATTTCTCTACAACTAGGGTTTCTTTACTGCCCAGGTATAAAGGATATTTTTTTCTTTCTTTAGTTCTTTATATGGCTTCTCTATCCATTTCAGAACTCATTAGAGGGTGACACAGCTAATGGAAATTACTCACACTATGCAAGGTAGAAGGTATATTGAGATTATATTTGCAGCAATCCGAAATTTCATAAAAAGGAAAAACTTCTACTAGGTGAGTATCACTTCATTCTAGTTTTAAAATAATACAATAGTTTATGGTTACTCAATAAACATTAAATAATACTCATCTCAGTCCAAGGCATTTTATGATTATGATATGTTTCCATCTCTACTCAGGGGATGAGGTAATGTGTCTTCTGGAATAATAGTACAATATAAACAGATGATGTGTGAGCTAGTAAAAGCTACATCTTACTACTTACTTGAGCTACTTAAGCTACAATTCTAGCTATCTACTACTGAGCCATACCACAACCCAGTGGCTTAACACAACATGATTTGTTATTTTTCATGATTCTATAGATTAGTTGTGTGGCTAGTCTATCTTTCTTGCCTAGGCTTCTATTCAGGAAGCTTCATTCAGCTGGCAGATTGGCTAAGGGCTCGCTCAGCAGGGACGGCTTGGAAAGGGAAGGGAGGCGGGGAGGAAGGCGGGAGGGTTGTCTCTCTCCATCTCTCCGTATAGTCTTCCATTCCAGGCTTCTTCACATGCCTGGTATTCTCTGAGCAGTGTTTTAAGAGGGTGAGAGGGTGATTGTGGAAGCTATGGCACCTTTTCAGATCCAGGCTCCAGGTCTCAAGAGGGTGAGAGGGTGATTGTGGAAGCTATGGTACCTTTTCAGATCTAGGCTCCAGGTCTCAAGCAATGTCCCTCCCATAGTCTTCTCCTTCAGCCTGCCTCCTGCTTTCTGCCCAAAGAAAGTTAGGCTCAGAGGCCTCTTTTCATGGTCGACTTCCATTGTGATAACCATTGTAAAGATTAAGCAACGTCCTTATTTCCACTTGATAAGCCATCTAATAACATCATGCTTCTGAGCTTCACCTCAGTGTTGGATTTGAAGACTCCCAGTCGTGAACTATTCTTTTTTTTTTTTTTTAAGATTTATTTATTTATTTGATAGGGACTGGGAAGCAGAGGAAGAGGGAGAGAAATCCTCAAGCAGACCCCCTGCGTAGCGCGGAGCCTGCCCTGGGCTGGATCCCAGGACCCTGAGATCAAGACCTGAGCCAAAACCAAGACTTGGGCGCTTAACAGACTGAGCCACCCAGGAACCCCATTCATGAACTATTCTTTTGTGTACAATATACTCAAAATACTATTTTACTGATCTGGTTTTAATTTTTACTGTCTCGGGGTTTTGACAGAACTATAAAATAATACATTTATGCTGTTTAAACTGCTGAGTTTGTTATAATTTTTTATGGCAGCAATAGAAAAATGCCACCTCCCATCAAAGACAGCTAAAAGAAGCTAATTGTTACTTTCTATATTCTACAAGGAAATTATGTTAGTGAGATCAACAGGTTCATTAGGTACATTTAGTACCTTCCAAGGTACCACAGGCAACAGTTATTTGGTCCGCCTCTGTCTTCTGGTCTCCAAGAGCAATTTCCTTCCTGCTTTCCTAGCTTGCACCAATAGTCTCCTCTCTACCCTTTCCAGCATTCACCTGCTGCCTGGCCCTGAAGACTGCCGTGTGCTTTGGGTTTTGTTAGAACAATACTAATTTCTGTTACATTCATCTCTTGCTTTATACTTTACCAATTTCTGTCAGATTAATCTATTGTTTTGTACTTCTGGTCCCACTTTGTCTGGATTATCTATTGCTTTGGAAGAACCACCATCCTAAAACTTAGGGATTAAAATAATAATATTTTTCAGAAAGATGCATTCATCTGGTGGCTCAGCTGCAGACTGAGCTCAGCTGAGAAAGCTGGGTTGCCTGAACCTCTCTCTCCAAACTCACTCTCATCCTGGGCTTCTTTATTGCCTGGCAGTCTCAGAATAGCGTTCCCCAGAGGGCAAATGTAGATGCTGCCAAGGCCTCAGGAGTCCCAAGTTTTGGAACAGGTACAAGGTTACTTCTACCACTTTCTACCGGTCAGAGCAAGTCATAAGGCCAGACATTCAAGTGAGCGGAGGGATAAATTGAGTCTCTTGATGGAAAGTGTGGTGGTATCACACAGAGGGGGGCATGAGTGCAGGGAGATGTCACTATATAGAGACCTATCACAGCTAAAACTATTTGATGTAAGAAAAGCACTGAGAGGAACAAAGGAGAGTTCAAGAAACACCATGCTTTGGGAAAGAAGTTCAAATTGAAATTTGAAAGTCCTTCTAAGAAGTATATTTTATGAACATCTGTGTGATGTAAAGTATGTTCGTGTTAAATATTTATTGTAAGGGTTATAACTGCTTTTCTCAGTGCATATCAGAATGCTTCCTCCACTCTGTCCCTTGATTTCTCAGTCTTTCTCTTCTGTGCTGGGGTAGCCCACACTTGGAAATCAATTGTATTTGAATATTATTCTATATAATTTGAATTCAGTACCTCTAAGTGGTAATCTTGGTTAAGTTTGCTTAACTTCTATATACCTCATTTGTCTAATTAGTCTGTAGAACAGAGAAAATAATACCTACCCTGTGGGGTATTTATGATAAAAGAGAAAATGTATGGAATATAATTATCAGTGCCTGGCAGCTATAAATATAAGCTGTTTTACCACACTCCCTTTTTAACTCTATTAGAAGGAAGACCAGGGGATAAGCATGACTGGACTAAGCTAAAAGTACAATGGTCTGGAGTGTGTGTGTGTGTGTGTTTTTAAGGAAGCTCTAAGCCCGATGTGGGTCTTGAACTCATGATCCCAAGATCAAGAGTCACACACTCTACCGCCTGAACCAGCCAGGCACCCCTGGAGTATGTTTATATTTTTAATTCCCTAATTCATTTACCTTACCTTGAAGTTATATAGGGTAGCATCTCTGTGTGAGGTCTGCATGCTTAATCCAAGAACTCTGGAGCATCTTAGCAGGCCTGAGGAGTTTGTATTTAAGCATAAATTTTCCCAGGTCTTTTGGAAATGCCTATTAAAAAACTTTGAGGAACACCGTCAGGTCCAAGGGAACAGGGATTTAGATTTCACATACAGAATGTAACATGAATGCCCTTAATTATTGCATGCCTTGGGAAAGCAAGAATCTGGTTGTCAGGTGAGGGAAACTTGAAGGATGGGTACTCTGCCTAGGGTAAAGAGCTTTACCTTCAGCTCCAAGGGGTTTTGTTTACTTCTTCAGCAGACAAAGTTATAACTGAAAGAACAAGGCCATGTTCTGGAGTTGTAAAAGGTGCAACATTTTGCAAAAACAATTGAGAAGGGTTACAGGCTTCACTGCAGTTACAGAAGAATTTGTTTTCAATTAATTAGTCCTAGATTGCCTGTCACTGTCTCAGTTTCATCAGCAAGATGGGGGATAGCTGTCCTACATCTCATAGGATGCTAATAAGTGTAAAGGAAGACACAAGCTCTATAAGCACCGTCCAAAGGGGAAGAGTGAAATGCAAAGTTCAGTAGAGGATATATGACGTGAACTTGGGTCAGACTTTCCCTATTGACCCAAAACTGATAGCCAGGGTCCAAGCTGAGGACAAAGAAGCGGTCAGTACTTGCAGATGTTAAATCAGCCACATTGGTCCCTCAATAACCACAATAACCCCGAATCCATATAAGCCAAAGAAGGAAGAGGAAAATGGGAATTACTGGAGCCATAAATTGTTGGCCTAAGAAGTTCTGCTGTGGCTATTTCCTAACCTTTTCCAAAAAGCCAAGTGAGAAGGGCTCCAAGAGAATTACTTGCAAAGTCTGGGGGTACCTGCATGAAAGGAAAACCAGCACCTCATTTTCTAGCTGTATATCAAATTAGGACACAGGCTAGTCCATCTGCCTAAAGTCTATATGAACAGGAAAAAAGAATTGGTGAATGAAGGCAGGACAAACAGGCTTGTGGTGTAGCTCAACAATCACCTCTGCTTTGATGAGAACATGAGTTTCTGGTGGGCCAAGTGAGCACCACAGAGCTAGCTGAGCTTGTGCCAGCATGCTGGCACAAACACACACAAAATAACTACGGGGCAAAAAAATCCTCCAGTGACAAGAGCCCATGGGTCTACCACTGAGTGCAAGAGCTGAGCAGAATCGGAAGAATTTAAACAGGACACTGTGGACTGGGAAGGTCCCTAAAGAACTCACACAAGGGGCACCTGGCTGGCTCAGTCAGTGGAGCATGAAACTCTTGATCTTGGGGTTGTGAGCTCGAACCCCATGTTGGGTGTAGAAATTACTTTAAAAATAAAGTCTTCTTAAAAAAAAAAAAAGAACTCACATCTGTGCCTCCTCTGGAAATCCAGTATCTGAAAACCTGCCACGGCGAGACCATTGTCAACGGCCAGGTAGTGTGGGTCCAACAGTTAGTGCCAAACAGCCCAAGGAAGACTACAATGATGGCCGCTTGAATCCCTCTAACTCCTCCCTGTGTCCACTCCCTGGAGAAGCTTGCAACTGAAAAGGAAAGAAGGACCTGAAACCCAGAGGTAAACTGCTTTCTTTTCGCCTAAGGTAGAAAAATGAGAACGAAGAGAAGCTCATATTCCCTCCCCATTCTAGGTCCTTCAAACCACAATGCTAGGGGCGCCTGGGTGGCTCAGTCGTTAAGCGTCTGCCTTCGGATCAAGTCATGATCCCAGGGTCCTGGGATCAAGCCTCGCATCGGGCTCCCTGCTCAGTGGGAAGCCTGCTTCTCCCTCTCCCACTCCCCCTGCTTGTGTTCCCTCTCTCGCTGTGTCTCTCTCTGTCAAATAAATAAATAAATAAATAATCTTAAAAAAAAAAAAAAAACAATGCTAGCAGATGACAGGAAAAAGGAAATCTTTTATTTGGATATGAAATTAGAGTTATAGACTGAATGGATTTTTAATCACTGAAATTGACCAGGAAGTTATAGAATCTACCCAAGAGGTGATAAGATATGTTACGGGAGGCAAGGGGGAATTTAAAATGGTCATGTTAGGGACAGCATTTAGAGGAAACTATAACTATTTCTTAATTTGTACTTCACTGAGTTAAGTTGGTTTAATAACTTGGATGGATGGAAAGATAGATAGATAGATAGATAGATAGATAGATAGATAGATAGATAGATAGATATAGAATGGAAAAATATATGACTGCTGCCCCAAATTCAAGCTTTCCTTGATTAAAACTTTTTTGACTAAAAAATACAAGTATCTGGTACTAAATGCTGGGGCTACAAAGATGAGATAGGGCATTTAAGGGGTAATTAAGGTTAAATAAGGTCATAACAATGGTGCCCTAATCCAATAGGATTGATGTCTGTAGAAAAGGAGGCACCAGAGAGCTTGGGCCCACTTGCATATGCATGCTCTCTCTCAGCCTCTCTCTCTGTTGATGAATCTGCACTGAGGAAAGCCCAGCTGAGGACACAGCAAGGAGGCAGCCATCTGCAAGCCTGAAAGAGTCCTCACCAGAAATTGAGCCCTGTTGGACCTTGACCTTGCACTTCCATCTTTCAGAACTGTGAGAAAATAAATTTCTGCTGTTTAAACCAAGCAGTCTGTGTCATTTTCTTATGGCTACTCCAGCAGACTAATAACAGTCTGCAAAGAATAAGATGGCTTTTTAAAAATTCTTTTAGCCTGGGCACCTGGGTGGCTCAGTTGGTTAAGCGACTGCCTTCAGCTCAGGTCATGATCCTGGAGTCCCGGGATCGAGGACGCATCGGGCTCCCTGCTCAGCGGGGAGTCTGCTTCTCCCTCTGACCCTCCCCCCTCTCATGCTCTCTGTCTCTCATTCTCTCTCTCGCAAATAAATAAAATCTTAAAAAAAAAAAATCTTTTAGCCCTTGGAGACACCCATGTTCACAGAAAAACCTGTTTGAGACCAGAGAAGCAGTTGATAAATGTAAAACACATTTTATGATGAGAAACTTGCCATTCCTATGGTTTCAGAAACCAGCTGGGTAAGAAAAATAACTGTTACCTCTTTAGAAATTGGTATTCCCAGAGTTTCCTCCTATGACATACAAAACCACATTCTAGTTTTATTTTCTGCACCTCTCGGCTTCTGATTCTGTCTTATCTGTCTGACCCTTCACGGCAGCATCCCAGGAAGCAGTCCTCTATTTTTTTGATGTTTCAGGATTTTTGCAGTATTTTATTCATTCATTCAACCGGTATTTATTGATTGCCTTCTATGTGTCAGGCACTGTTCTAGGGGTTACAAAACCCCTTACCTCATTACAATAGAAGACAGGTAACACTCAGTCGAATGAGGACATATACTGCATCAGATGGTGATAAATGTTACAGGGAGAAATCAAGCAGGGTAAGGAGAAATAGAGAGGGGTGGAGAGGCGCATTGCCTTTTCACTGATACCTGAGCAGAGATGAGGACAGTGAACAGCAACATCCCGAGGAGGGAGCACACTTGGCATATTCGGGAACAGCAGGGACAGTGAGCTGGGGAGGGGGGGTGGGGAGGGGGAGTGAAAGATAAGATCAGAGAAGTTTGCCATCGCCCTGGGTGGGGCAGATCATAGGCAGCCCGTTTGGCGTTTCCTCTGAGACGGAAAACTGGAGCTCTTGGAGGCCTAGGATAGAGGAGGACTTGATACGACATAGGTTTTAAAAGGATCACAATGGCTACTTGTGTTAAAATTAGACTGTAGGTAAGAAAGAAGGAGTAAAGGTGGAAAGAAGGGGTCAGATTGTGGATATATTGTGAAGGTCAGTCTAACAGGATTTCCTGATGGATTTCATGCAGTGTATGAAAGACAAAAGTCGAGGATGACTTCAGTCAATCTTTGAACACTTTTCTGATATTTATTCCTGATAAATTTTTTGAATGGGAAGGCTAGATCAGAGACCATGCACATGTAAAAATCTTGGGGTGTGTATTGTCAGTTGCCTTCTAGGACCTGAGAATCATTTTTTTACCCCCACTTATGGTGACTGGGACGCTCCATTTTTCAGCAGCTTAGGAAAATAAATGGACTATTATTTTTAATATGGATAGTTTAATATGAAAGGTAGATTTTTTGTAACTTATTTATCTTTATCCTTAATGATTATTGAATATTTTTATTAATCCTTGGCATTGGCCATTTTTCCACTGGGGAGTTCATCTTTTTTATTACCACTTAAAAATTTCATTTATGAGTTTAATTTCAAATTTTATTGATTGATCAAACCCATTCCGTTTTCCTCCTAAAAACCGAGCTAAATTACATTTCCCAGCCATCTTTGCACTTAAGGAGAGTTGTATGTCCAAATTCTGGCCAATGGAAGGTTCGTAGAAGTGATACAGACTACTTTTAGCCTGGCCCATAAAAACCTCCCTTTCATGATCCTCCAAAGCCCTTTTCCTCTCTAAGATAGATGGCAGGAAATGACCCCCAAGGAGACCGTGGGAGTCACATGTTGAAAATGGTACAAGAAGGAAGTATCTTGAGACACTAAATCACTTACATACAGGAGAGCTGCCCAAGAACAATGGTTTTTGAAGTGTTTTGTGAGAAAGAAATATGCTTTGTTGTGTTAAAAGCCACTGAAATTTCAGAGTTTATTTATTACAGCAGGAGGTGTTCTCCCTTACAAAGAAATACATAGAAAGAGTTATAAAGAATTTCTTTATCTTCATATAGCAAATATACTTATCTTTTGCCTGTGTGGAGAAATATAAAACTTCTTTTTCTGAATGTACACTGACCCTGGCGCTCCCTGGTACTAAGAGACTAATCCATTCCTTTCACTTCCTTTTTTGAGTTACAGTTCTAAGAACAGGACGTAATGAACTAAAACAGGCCAAATTTCTCTCCCTCTCTCTCTCTCCCCATCTCTCTCTCCCCGCTCTTCCCAATCTCTCTCTCTCCAACCCCCCCACCCCTACATTTTTGGAAAGAAAGGGTCAGATTCTGGATATATTGTGAAGGTCAACCAATTCCTGATGGATTTCATGCAGTGTATGAAAGACAAAAGTCAAGGATGACTTCAGTCAATCTTTGAACACTTTTCTGATATTTATTCCTGATACATTTTTTGAATGGGAAGGCTAGATCAGAGACTGTGCACATGTAAAAATCTTAGGGTGTGTATTGTCAGTTGCCCTCTAGGACGTGAGAACCATTTTTTACCCCCACTTGTGGTGACTGGGACTCTCCCTTTCTCAGCATCTTCGCGTTGCAGTACCTGCCTGATTAGTCACCAAACTTTTAATTGACACTCTGCCACTTTTGTATCTTTGCTATATACAATTCCTCTTGTTTCCCATTTTCCCAGAAACGCTCCCTTTGGATATTCTCTCTATTGCAACAGCTTGAATAAAGTACCTATTCCCTTGATTCTCAGTCAGCTTTTGAAAGTTCAACACATATAATAAATAAGGCAAATGTTTTTCTTAGTTTATTGTCTATTGATTTTGTCTGTGTTGAAAATATTTTTTAAAGATTTTATTCATTTATTTGACAGAGAGACAGCACAAGCAGGGGGAGCAGCAGAGAGAGAGGGAGAAACAGGCTCCCCACTGAGCAGAGAGCCTGACATGGGGCCCGATCCCAGGGTCCCGGGGTCATGACCAGAGCCGAAGGCAGACAACCAACCAACTGAGTCACCCAGGCACCCCTATGTTGAAAGTGTTTTTAATGATTGCCTTATTTTTCCGTATATGCTGTTTCTGTATATGATCTTCCTTTATATGCTCTGTAATTTATAGCCCATGAAATATCAAACTGTATTCTTTTGCTGATAGAACCCCATCCTCATTCTTTCGCATTTTGTGTTAAACCTAGAATACATGATACATAAGTTAGCAGAGTACCATTTCCTGCCTTGTCCTTCTCATGTCTTATTGGCCATTTACTCTCAAGTCTACTCTGTTTGGGTCATTTGACACTTAAGTTTATGCCTCAAGTCACTCAGTCTTTCCAAGGCATCCTGTTCTGTCTGCCTGAGTCAGTTCGTCATTGACTCAGTGACATATTGTCATATGTTGTCATATTCTCGCTGGTCTCGCTGGTCACCAATCACCCCGGCCACACTAATGAACACTAACTGGTCCCATGCAGCTGTCTCTGGCCTGCATGACAGGAGGAGCTTTTTACTTACCAATAATATCACATTTGTAGAATAACATAAGGGAAGTGTATCAGTTTGCTTTGCTGCTGTAACAAATTACCACCAATTTAGTGGCTTAAAACAATGAAATAGGATCGTGTAGGATTTTGTTCATTAGTTGTGAGTGTGTAAAGCTCTATTTTTATGGATGGCGAACAATACATTCCTTTCAAATTAAAAAAGATGCAGAACTATTATTATCTTATAGTTCTGGAGGTCAGAAGTCCAAAATGGTTCTCACTAGGCTAAAACTGAGCTGTCAGCAATGCTTCATTCCTCCGGGGAGGCCTCCGAAGAGAATCTATTTTCTCACCTTTTCTGGCCTTAAGAGACCACCCACTGCCTTCACTCTTCACTCATGACCCCTTCCTCCTTCTGCGAAACCAGCAGTGCAGCATCTTCAAATCTCTGACTCTGCCTCTCCCGCCTTCTTTCACATATAAGGGCTCTTGTGATTATTCATATGGAAATTCTTTTCGTCTCAACATTCTTAACTTAATCGCATTTGCAAAGTCCCATTTGTCATGCAAGGTAACACATTCGCAGGGATTTCGGATATGGTGAGCCACTGTTCTACCTTCCCCAGAAGGACTTCCCCACACCATAACACAAAGGCAAATCCTCTTAGTGGTCCTTAGTTGACTCTTAAATTGTGTCTGGTAATGAACAACTCGGTGCAGGCAAAAATCTCAATTCTTAAATTCCTACCTACTTTGTATTAGTAACACAAAACAAACAAAAACTAGAAGAAAGTAAAATACATGAAAACAAAAGTAATACTCTTTATTGTATACAAAATACATAATCCCTTGGTAGAAATACCATTAACTTCAACTCAGAGTAATAATCAGAGATCAATAGGTAACTTTTAGTTGGGCCAATACAAGAAAGATCTGCATTTTTATGTGACTTACTTTTTGTTTCTAAAAGTTGAAAATAGGGGCGCCTGGGTGGCTCAGTCGTTAGGCATCTGCCTTCAGCTCAGGTCATGATCCCAGGGTTCTAGGATCGAGCCCCGCATCGGGCTCCCTGCCCAGCGGGAAGCCTGCTTCTCCTTCTCCCACTCCCCCTGCTTGTGTTCCTTCTCTCACTGTGTCTCTCTGTCTCTGTCAAATAAATAAATAAAAAATCTTTAAAAAAAAGTTGAAAATATCTCTTGAAGATATTAATATGTATTTCCATTTAGGAAAAAATTGATTAAAATAAAACATATAAGCTCTAAACAAATGTTTCTGTTTTTAAGTTTTCTCCTATTTCTAGTGAGCCAGAAGATTAGAAACATAAATCTATACAAAAATGCTTCCCAGGATTAGTCAGTAAGATAACATAAAAGTTTTAAATATTTGAAATTCTTTCATTACAATAATATTAGAGTTTCAGATTCAACCACTGCTTGATTTGTTTTCTCTGAGCAGCTATTCTTACCATCTGCCCTTTTC